GGGACACGGTGTCAAAGGCCTTGCTAAAGACCTAGATTACATCCACAGATGTTCCTCTCCTTTCCACAGAAGCCATTTATTCTTTAACAGACTGTTACTATTTTTTTTCCTCTCTCACCTTTCTAGTTTTCCTTCCTTTCCTAAGTTTCTTTAGGAATTTAAGCAATGTCTTTGGTCCTAAGTCACGTATCACAGATCTCTGCCTAGACATTCCCATTCTTCACCTGGACTCTTTTAAAAGAGGTCCACCTTTTCTCAAGTGTTGCATGTGGAACTCAGACACTTTGGTCTTGCTTGGTAGAGAAAAAAATATAATTGTGCATCTTGTAGGCTATACATCAAATTATGCTGTATTATTTCCTTTCCTATAACAGCATGGCACTTGTTCACTCCTGTCAGCTCCTTCAGAACTGGTACCAGCTGGTGGTACCTCATCCTGTATTTTTGCTGTTTATTTAGGTGTAAGTATAATTTACATTTCCCTTCTTTAAACTGTCTGCTGTTTTCAAGCAAATCTCCATCTAGTCAAGCTTGCTCTGCATTCTAATCCTGTCCTCCACTGTAGCTTCCGTTCTGTCCCACCTTAACCATGTACAGATTTATTACATCTTTTCAACTCTCTTTCACCAAACAGATCATTAATGCAAAATACAGAACCTTAACCCTGGTACAGAGATTACTTAAAGCTTATCCTTTAAGGTCTCTTAAGACAATTTTAAAACACTAACTCCAAATACCCTTTCAGTTACTGCACATTGCAATTTTCTCCTTTGCTACTGGTATGAACTATAATGGGCATCTGACAGCAGCTGTGAAGACTGCATGAAAGTCCATTATAAATGTAGGCTTCCCTGGCCTCATCTGCTGACAAGCTCTGCCTGTTGGCTGACTCAATATCGTTCTCATTTTTCCCTTACTAAGAATGTACTTACAGAAAGACCTCAGGTTAGGCTCAGTATCACTTACTGCTTGCATCTCACCTTCTGCCTTTGCCTCTCTGATTTTTCCTCCCCCCACACTCATGCTATACTCTGTACTAAGCCCTCGTAACTTTGTCTAGGGTCTACTCTGTACTGTGTATGTATTATGTATGAAGATATCCAGACCACAAAGGACTCTGGTGCTTTTATCCCTGGTTCCTGTAGTCTTTTGACATGCTTAAGGTCATGTCCAGCAGTATCACCAGTGTCTTCAGGGATAAACAGCATACAGAAGTAATCAGTTGGCTAGGTAAGGCTCAAACTTTTAGTTCATCTAAAATTCAGCCCCTTGAGTAGCAGCATACTTCTTCTGGACAAACGGGTTCATCCAATTGGGCTTTTTCCTGGAAAGAGAATCTTGGAGCTCACAGTTCCTGGAATGTGTAGCTTTTCTTTCTGTACCACTAGTCAAATCTTCACTTGTTGCAGTCCAAATGCTAAAGCAGTTTGTCTTGAGAAGTATCCTAAAAAACTACATCTTCTCTCTGGAGCAGCAACTTCCCTCTCCACTACTGTTCCTTCTACAGATCTTTGAATTTGCTATCTTCTTCAGTCTTGGAGGTCATGGCAGCAGGAAGAAAGAAACTTTCAGAATCTGGTTCTCAGAAACTCCTTAGTCATCTCCTCCATGCTAAGAGGCTGCCAAAACATCTCTCCTACACTAGGCATCCTCATTGCCTTGCTGTGCTTGAGATCCTCCCTGAGCACAGCCCTCAGACCATAAGAGACATCTACAGTGGCACTACGTGTCAACAGCACCAGTTCTACTCTGTAAAACCTGATCCTTACCAGCTCTCCTTGAGCTTCCCGGTGAGAACTCTCTGGGGTTTTTTTTGCCATGTTTGCTCATTCCTCAGGTAACTGAACTACTCATTTTCCTGATGTGATGCTTGAGATCTCCTGAACATGTCTTGGATGGGGCAAGCACTGATAAAGTGGTAGGAGTCTCCTGTGAAGGAGCACTAATCATGATTCCTTTCAGCAAACATTTTATTCCTTTTCTCACTGAGTATTTTGTCTGAAGTAGTCAATAAAGATAGCTTTTGAAGCCGTAATATCATGCAAACAGTTTTGATTCCCTGCTACCATGTTCAGAGAAGCTTTGCATCCCAAGATTTATGGTTAAATCACAGATTTAACCCACTTGTAAAAGTCTGCCTTCCTTGTCCTTCTGCATATGGGAGATAAAACAGCTCCAAAGGAAGGACTCCTCTTGCATATGAGATCACCCAAACAAAGTATAAAGAGAGACAGGATGCAAGAGCGGTCATAGGCACTGCTAACAAAAAGTCTCTGAGCTCACACTGCAGAGGTGAGTATACCCACAATGGAATATGCATAAGGACAATCATTCAGAGAATCCATATTACATGGCTACTTACGCCAAATTACACACATGAAAGTATTAAGAAGTAATACAGCAGCAGCCGAAAAAAACCCCTGGAATGTACTTGGGCTCTGTTTGCAAATTACCTTTAAAAACTGCTTATAGGTTTTCCTACTTTTAAGGAATAGATATGATAGGGACTATCAGAGTACCTGTTTAACAAGTGTATTTTAATCTTCAAAATTATGCTGATCTGGCAAAATTAACACAGATTTGATAGTACAATTCCAACTGCAACTATCACCATCCGTAGGAGCCTCTTTCTCCATAGACTACAGAGGGTGCCCAGAACGGGCAGGTAACCTCAGGCAGTCAAAGCATGCAAACACGAGACTTGCCCAACAGCTCAAAACCACAAATAAAGCCTAATATAGTGGAAGCATTCTCAGAAGTGGCATGTCCAATGCTTGTTAGCCTACTGATCCAAAACCGTCAGAATCAAAGTTACAGCATAACTATCACTACTTAAGACAAAAATACCACAGATAACCAGGTGAACAAGCCAAAAGTTAATTTTCTATTTATTACCACCGAGCAATTCTCTGATATGCTTGTCCTGGCTTCCTTCAATCAAAGCTATCAAGTGAGGCTTTTTTGGCCATACTGTAAATCAGAATATTTCAGATGGTTCAGAGGCTCCAAAATAAACTTTCCAAACATCAAAATGACAACAGGAAACAAAGACCACCTGAAGCATATTTATACATGCAAGTCTATATTATGTATGGGTACGAAATTCTAAAAAGAGAAACTTAAGACATATTTGAGCCCTTATATGCCTAATTAATTTTGCCTATGGCTTCAGTAGGACAGATAAAGAATACAGCAACAACAAAATATCAGCTGTCTCTTACCCGCTTGCATACACGCAAATATTATCTACCAGTGGAAGAGTCTTTAGAGCTGCTTCTACTTTGCCAAGAGAAACATATTCTCCTGCCTGGAGTTTTACAAGATCTTTTTTACGGTCTATTGAGGGAAAAAGGAATTAAAAATTAATTACAGAACATAAAACTTCATAAATTTCAGAAAAGTATAAAATTAATGTCTATGTAAACACCAAAAGGTAAGCTGACACATATCAGGTTTCCAGACTTTGCATTTTATCAATCTGTCCCTCACTTGAACATAAGAGACATTAAAACTCTATATATTTTCTACCTTTAAACCAGCATCTCCTTTATGACAGCACTAGCATGTCAACAGAAGGCAACTAGGATTACACAAAGCCAGTGTCTGGCTGGAAGCACACATTTTCTGCTGCTTGGTCCAGACACTTGAGGCAGGAGATGCACCATTTGGTGACCTTTGGTTATTTATTCCCACGTTAAATCCATACTTAAAGAGCAACTGTCCATTTGTTATTTGAAACACAACAATAGGAACCAAAGATTAAGCCCAAATTACTTGAGTCTGTTGTACGTAGCCCAAAGAAGGCAAAGGCGACTACAGGGCCTTACCCTCCTACCTGTGACGGCAGCCAGGACTGCCTCTCCTTTCCTATATACCTCGTGCTGCCTTGTGCCACCAGGCAAGGTGGCTTTGTAGCTGCTGACCTGCTTGACCAGTGCAAAGCAGCTGCAACGGAACCTAAGATTTTTCTCCTATGATAAATGAAATAAGCTTAGTTTTCAGGATTAAAGAGCATACTGAATCACCCACTGACTTCAAGAGAAACACCTGGTAGTTTATAGGGCACATATTTTTGTGCCTACAAGTTTCAATGAATTATAAGCCTATCACAGGCTTACATATAACACCTTGACCTTAGTATATTTTTCCCCTAGTTCCTTTATGATCAAAGGACATTCTTACTATAAAGAATGGCAAGATTAGAAAAAAGCTTATTTAATTCCTGAGCACATAGTACTAAAAAAGCCCTTTCACTGAATCAAATTCCACACTTACAAAATTATAAAATCTAAGGCAGCTTATCTAGCTCAATTAGCCTACATTTAACTCTCTAATTACTACCCGGTCTCACTAACAGAATGGAGTCGATGTTAAGACTGTTTCAAAAGGAAGCCAACTGTTTCAAAAATGAGCTTTTAAAACAGACAATCAAGTTTACATTAACATATCAGAATTTTCCTGGGATACATGCTAGGGCTTTAGACTGCATGCCAAAAACTGCAGATTTTTTGGGGTTAATTACAGTATTTAGCAGCCCTAGAAAATGTGTGTGTGCGTATATATATATATATTCCCTTGAATGTATTAACTCACCTATAATTTTTAGACATCCATCTTCCTGAAACTCTCCAATGTCTCCAGTGTGGAGCCATCTCTGCCCATTCTCATCAACAGTGAAGTCTTTTCTGGTTCGTACTTCATTTTTGTAGTAGCCCAGTGTCACATTTTGCCCTCCAATAAGAATCTCACCTCTAGGATATGGTTTATCAGTGTTGTAATATCCACCTAAAATTACAGTTTTTATTAAGTTAACTAGAATTAAAATATATTCCAAAGCAAGAACTCCTATAATTTTTAGTTTTTAAATATAGAACTAAACACTTTAGTAAGTCCTTAACCAAAGTTATCAGTTGCCTAAATAATTCAGTAAGAGAAGAGGTGGTTCCAATTCTTTTCAGCATATAAACAGCTATTTAACATGTGTGTTTGCAAACAGTGAAATTCACACACACACAGAGGGCAAATGTCACCTCTATACAATCCTTCTGCCAGGACTAACACGATCTATCAGTTTCATATAGGCTCAAATTTAAAAAAGAGAATTTTTGCCTCATATTTGAGGAAAGAAAAAACACTATAGCATTTCACATTAGCCCAAAACATCCTTAAGTATTATGTATTTCTGCTCTACAGTACACAAAAGCCTACAGTGAAAGGACATTACCTAAATACATTTCAAACTACATTAAATATATTTTATATAGCATCCATTAAAGTTCCATTCCATGTGACAATTTTTTAATGATGTTAATAATGATGTTATGAAGACTATTTTAAAGTAATTTCTTAATGGCAACAAAAGGTATCATGCATGCACTTCAGCTGAAATCTGCTGGATCCAGCACCTCTAAGATACAAGACCTGCATTCTGTCCTGCAAGAATACTAGTCTAAATCAGGAAGAGGTACAATGCTGTACACAGTTAAGCAATATGCATATGCAATTAAAGTCACTGGAATAAAAGAAATACTATAACCAAAGAGAGCCATAATACAACCTAGTCTGGACACCACTCACATTGATAGCTTCTGCCTAGACAGCTGCAAGTTTAGAAACCGCTGAGGAATTTTTGTACATTTTTTCTCCCCCAAGATCAAATTTTTATAGACAAAAGTAGCATCCAAAATTTAAAAAGCCAAGAAATAGTCTTCTAATTACTACTATTGTGCAAAGCCCAAGAGAAAAATAGCTACCTAAAGTTCAAACTTGTACATAAAGTACAAACACCCTATAATTTAATTACATACAGAATTTCTCACCTTCTTCCCAGTTCATTAACTTGATTTCACAACAGACCAAAGGTGCTCCCACTCTCCCTGTAGTATAGTCCCAAACTAGAATTTAAAAAAAGAACAAAAAAAAAATTAAAATATTAACAAAACTGATCAGAAAAATCTTTGTAACTCTCCCTGTAGTATAGTCCCAAACTATAATTTAAAAAAAGAACAAAAAAAAAAAATTAACAAAACTGATCAGAAAAATCTTTGTTGTGATGCACCTTATTTAGTGAAAATTAACTGCTATTTATTTCCGACCTTTAACTCATAGACCAGAACTTCTAAGAAAACCAATGCACCTAACAAGGTAATGCAGATAAAATCCTTATCCTGCAAAGAGAATAGACAGCTGTATTTACAGATACCTCCAGTCGTATAACACAGCTTTGACAGTAAGCTGCCCACGTGAATGATGCTTCAGAAGTGGCACAACAACTTAAATAGTGTTTGCTGGACTCTGAAATAAGTAGCAATATTTCACAACAATTCAGAGATTCTATATTTTGATTCACTTTCCTGAAGTCTCATCCCAAACACTTTTGCATGTGGGCACCTTCCCCAAAGAGCATCACTGCAGACTACATCATTCTTATTGCAGTTCCACTTTTTTCCCCCCTCAAGCTACTGAAGAAGCCATTTCCAAAGAGCTCTTGGAATAAAAACCACATCATAGCAGTTTGTAGATCACCAAGAAACATAATACATGTTCTACAATCCCGCAAAATCTAGCAAGGAACCTTAGATACTCCTCATACGATTCCATGGTAGATCACACCATTGCCAAAAAATAGCAGCTCTGACTGTTTCTGCCACCACTGAATATGAGTGAAATATTAGGACTAAAAGGCAACTGAAACCATGAAGTTCTGTTATATGAAATTAAGATCTGGTCCAGGCTTTTGCATTCTATTTTTTTTTCCTAACATCTCAATACACTCACTAAAACTAGAAATAATTTATTCACTTCAACTGGTAAGTGCAATAATGCCAATATCCCTTTCACACTGTTACAGGTTTCTTTGTCACAAATGAGACCATTCATTTTATATGTAGGTCACCAGCTTTAGCACAATGTGTCATAAGTAGTACTCCTACTGTTTTACACATTCATGATTACAAGTAATTCCCAGGATCCCCAATTATGTTTGGTGGCATGCACCAACTGAATAGACTGTCCAAGACGATACACGCAGCTCGCCCAGCACAGATCACAGCACTCCGCAGGATGCACCAACACCAACCTTCCATGATTGTTCCAGCTCCAGCTGATTCTGTTAGTCCATATCCCTGTCCTACAGGGCAACAGAAACAAATGTTCATAAACCGCTGAGTCGCTGCAGAGAGTGGAGCTCCTCCACAAAGCAGGATGCGAATTTTTCCACCTAGCAGCATTCGTACTTTCCGGAAAATAAGGCTAAAATGCAAAGATAAAAGTATGTATTTGAAGCTTAAAAACAAAACAAGAGAGTACCTAATTTTGTATACGAACTGAAAGTTTCCTCTATCTTCAAGTAAATTTTTATGGCATTCAATGAAAACCTTGAAAGAACTAATTTAAGTTTTCAAAACACAAACACACATTTTTAAGCTTGTTTCCACATTCTAATTTGAAGATGGGTTAAATGTTTTGAGAGCGTAGATTGAGTAAGACAGTAAAGTTCTGTCATTTTCTCCTTAAAAACAATTTAAATAAGCTGTATAAATTTGCAATTATGTTATCCTTTGGTCTTCACTAAAGTTGAGAGTTCGACTCAGTGATCTACATGCGTTCCTTCCAACTGGAGATATTCTATGATTCACTTCCATCAAAATGTAAGGTAAGTACACAGTTATCGACAGGAACAGACTTCCCATCTTACCCAAGAATTGTATAGATCCACTACTAAAGTCTTGAAGAAAATAATGCAATGAATATAAATCTCCAATTGGTTTCAAGTTAAATAACATTCACTTAAATTATATCAGTAACTGTTTAAAACAACCATACAAACTAGTGATTTATTGTTTCAATTTACACTTAATTACAGACTTGCTCATGTTCAAAGTGTCAACAGTAAAACAAAAAAAAGCACAAAAAAATATCAGATACTGCTCGTGGTAAGGCTTTGATAAGCATTTTTTTTTTTGTGCCATTAGAAATAAAATTAAAATTACCTGTCGCAGAGCGGGGTAGTGTAACCTTTGGAAATCTGTTCCATTTTGTAGTTGTAGGCCAATATAAATAGATTCCGCTGGAAACTAGTCATTTCATTCACTTTATTCATTACATTTTTGTAGATCCGATCCATAATTTCCTAGTTACGTAAAAATATTAACTCAAAGTAACAGAAATCCTAAATTCAGTACAACAAAAAAGAAACATGATCTAGAAATTTTAGTACGTTTCACATGACAACCCCCTTCCAGGTTGCTTCCTCTTCCATTGCTAAGAGATTGCAAGATGTTCACAGAAATGAGGAAAGCAAATATCTAAGCAGGAGGACTAGTGAACTCCAAGCTGCCTGCTGCCTACTATCTTTATTCCACTAATTTACTATGACAAGCAACAGACGACTAAATAAAATGGCAATCTAACCCCATAAATAAACTTTGAAAAATGTTGACACTTATATGATGAATGTTTATCCCCAACAGACAAATAAATACCAAAAAAATTATTTTAAGCTAGCTTAGCATCAAAGGCTCTACCTTTTTTATTTAAATGATCAATGCATTAATTTAGTTGTTAAAAAAAATAATCAATTTTAAATAATGTAAAACATCATTTATCCTTCACTTACTTACCGGGACAGCTGCCATTAGAGTTGGCTTAAGTGTAGTAACATCACCTTTGCTTCCTTTCTTTATTTTAGTGGACTAAAGTGAAGAAAAAATTTACTAGCAAACACATTCAAAATTTTTAGCATGAGAAACAAAATGACACAGCACATCTTTCAAACAAACATCTTCATTTAAATTTGATTTTAACAATTAAAACTAGGCCAGAGTACCAGTCACAACCACCAATACTGCTTCATGAATTGCAGAAAAGATTTGTTCTAATATTCTTTAAGAAATATTACAAAGTTCTAATGTGAGTAACTGTTTGTTTTGTTTTGACCATAAGGGCTTACAGCAACAACATACCTGGTCGGCTAATGTCTGAGGCGAAGAATAACCAATGCGGCATCCATGAGACAGACACACAAGTTCAGCACTCAGCTCCAGAACATGCGCAAGAGGCAAATAGCCAATATAGATGTCTTTTTCCCTGTAAAGAATTTTTAAAAGATAGGTTTATATTGTACCATTAGAGTCCTCAGGTGAGTCATTAAGCTAAATTTACACAGAGCTTCCTGCAGAACTAGAGAAAGTAGGACAATGCCTTTGAGCTTGAGACCATATTTCAAATAATATGAGTTTTGTCTCAAAAGCTGCGTACTACACACTGTAGGTTTAAGGTATAAACAAAGTGTGATGTTTACTCGTTCCAAGACAATTAACCATTTATTATGGTTGCAAAGGCAACCCCATGGACAGCATTAAAAACTGCACCAGATGGAAAGAAAGCACAGAATGTAACACTACCCAAAAGTACTGCTTAAGGAAGCTTTCAGCCGCTCCACTGCAAGGCAGCCTCACAGGCTTGTGTGTCCTGGTCTTGCCCACAAAAGAGAGGAGAACAAACAGCCCACGAAGTTGTCATGTCATTTAACGCAGTACTGGAAGGTGCTCAGACATCAGTGCATAGTATGATGTGTCACAGACAAAGCAGTATAAAACAGTTGCTATTTTACACAGTAATTGATCTAAAATCAGATGCAACTGCTTCTTCTTTATTGGCTGGTAAGTAACTGCTGGTACATACCCCAGACTTGGAATCCTCTCAGCCATTCCAGTTATCCCAGCAATTATGTTGCAATGGGAGATCATAACTCCTTTGGGAACTCCTGTGGATCCACTAGTGTACATGATCACGGCGATATCCGAGGGCACAGGCCTGGCCTGCTGTTTGTTTCCTGTAATTTGTGTTAAAAAAGAAAATGTGTATGTGTTGAAAGCCTATCAGGTTAGGAGATCTTTGACCAAAGATCTTCAGAGTTAACAGTAGAAATTTGTTCTGATAATAGTTAAAACACCTTCTGAAATTCTGAATTCCAATTCTAAAAATGTTACATAGATTGGAAATAGATTTCAAGAAATTTAAATAGTAGATTGATACTTTCAGAAATGCAACAAAAGCGACCAAGTTCTATCAGATTTTAAAGGCTATTTGACATTTTGATATTTGTGAATTTAAAAAAACTTAGTGGTAGCGAATTACTGATGCCTTTTCCTATAAAATGCACAATAATTTTCTCTTTATGCTCTGAATAACCTGGTTTCAATATATCTGATGAAAATAATGCTTTCTAAGTTTCTATCCTGACCTAAATGCTTATGCTAAAAATTATTCTTCAACATGTGACACTTTTGGAGAAGACAGATTTTATTAGAAGCATTTTAGTCTGCTGTGTTGAGAAACAAAACAAAACACCCCACACCCCCACATCCAACCACAACCAAACCAAAAAACTCCACAGATTTTATTTAAAGAAGAGCCAGATGATAAAAGGTTCATCATGGCATAATTTTTTGAGATTGCAATTTCCAAGTTTACTCAACAGTGGCAAAGCAGGACAACAAATGAGATGAACCAAACAGAAAGGAGAGAAAACCCACCGATATCTGCCTTGGCCCCCATGGCTTGCACAGAAGCCATCGTGTGAACGATGACACCCTTGGGAAACTCTGCCCATGTTATTGGTTTGCCATCCACAGTAATAATATGTCGCAGCAATGGAACTTGAGAAACAATCTCCTGTGGAAATGAACATGTGTTCAGAAATCAAACGTGAAGAAAAAAAGGTCTATCTACTGTATACATTTTTTTTAAAAAGCATTGACATAAAATATCTGAGGATTTAAAATATCAGAGGATAAACTGTCTAGCTCAAACAGCTGCAAAGCTTGAAACTTTCCACATTTAGATTTGCAGGACTGATGGAACTTTCCACTTACAAGTCCAAAACCTTTTCCAACCATTTACTGATCTGAGTGTTATTTCAAGAAAAGCCCACAAATAAGACTGCAATGACTTGTAGAGATAATTGACTTTCCTCTCTCATAGAACTCTGAGAGAAACTGGCCACACTGAGCTCACACTAATTCTTACGTTGCTCCTTGATTACTATGCTATTTAAAAAAAGCAACAGCTACCAAAACACAGAAAATTGTTAGTTAACCACTAGTCAAGCATTCCAAGCAAAATGTGAGTTCTAAAACATTTATCCATGTGGAAGAAGAGATGACTACCATCTCTAGCAGAAGAGATTCACTCTCTTACCGAAAGCTGAAATAAATGTGCATTCTATATCTGCTGTCATTCTAGTAATTATTAAAAAAAAAGCAAATAAGATTTGGGAAATTCTAACTCAAAATTCAGCAATAGTGCCCAGTTTTTAATACAAACAATTCCCTTATATGAAAGATCTAGTTCCCTCAAAACACGTGATGATGAAACTAGTGCAGATTACTTGTTCCACTTGTGTATTCAATCTGGGTCAGTAAGTCAAAGTTTTTTGACTGTTGTAACGTTTAATAAGCTTTCCCCCACACTGGAAAACAGCTCTAACTCTTCGAGCACCCGCCTTTAGATTTAAGAGTCATTTTCTGCTGGGAAAACATCCAACAATATATCAGGAGGATGATCACATTTAGCTATTCATATACAGTTTATACATTTTTCTGTTCTTCCCATTTGCTTCAGCTGTTAAATTTATAGGCACTAAATCCACCCAGAAACCATAGCAGTTTCTCGTAAAGGTGTTGTTCCAGGCAGCACTGCAGCCCTTCAATAGCGCAAACTGCCCATCTGTTCTACAAAAGTCACTGAGGAGCCTAAATCCCACTGAAGGCTAACTATTATTTTTTCTGTACATGAAGACAGATACATAAATCTTATTGTAAAAGAACTGTCTGCCCTAGAGAAAGGCAATAAATCATTGCTCTGTTCAATAGAACCAAGCTTTTTAACAATAGTGAACAGATACACCGGAAAGAGAGAGACAAAGAACAGTTTTCTGACCTTCAATTTTGTTTGCATCAATTCTTTACTAGTAATGATGGTTGTCACCTCTGTTTCATTTAGCCCATGTACTATTGCTGGGCCTCCCAGAGTAGCGTACAGAGTAACAACTGAAACAGAAAATGGGGAAAAAAAAAAAAAAAGGTGAATCTCTTGTGTTACACTTTCAAGTACAGTTTACAATAAAGGGCTGAGATTAACCTATTCTAAATTAGGCAACACAGTAGAAATATTTGTCAACTAATATAAAGGCGGTATAGTTTTGTGATTTTAAAAATATATATTACATGGATTTAAATACAGCATAATTTTCAGTTACTTTGAGAAGGAATAAAGAACAACCATTATCTATGTGACTCTTTACTATTTTTCAAGGTCTAACTAGAGGTACCAAAACCACATTACCCTATGTAATTCTCTTCTAGATCTAATCTGGTACCTTCATGACTTTTACCATTTTAAAAGTAGGCATCTGTTCTCACTGTAATACACTGTTTAACAGTCCTCCTGTACGCAGGAAAGAAACAGCTTTCATTTATGTGACTTCTCTTTTCATAATGTACCAGTTCTGTTATTAGCCTTTTACAATTGACTGCTAATAAAAAATATTATAACATGGTAATACATGTCATCAACAGATTAATTATCACATTCAGTAATAAATCTGTGACTATCATATTCTCCCATCTATTTAAAATGACATAACAAAGGTTTGATCATCACAATCATTAGACACTGAACTGACACAAAGAGAATACAGAATGGCAAGGAAGAAAAATATTTAGGAAATTGACTACTAGAAACACTGTTTCCTGTATTTAAGGACAACTCATTAGCAAGAGAGTGTTAAACCACAATTATTTCATAGTAACACTTTAAAAACCATATTTAATTTCCTGGCATTTTTATGGGAACTGCAGCAGAAAAGACAGACTGAGGAAGAAAAAGGCAGCTCAAAACAAAAGAGAGGTACTGCTCTCAAAAAAAAAATAAATTCCTATTTTCCACGCAGAATGCTAAACAGGGACATCTCAAAAAAGCTGTGAGGTCAATCAACACAATCATTAATAACTACAACATCACTGCTGAAGATTTGTCACATCAGGTATCTGAATTTCTTTTGTATTTTAGTCTGGACTTTGCTGAATATTTAAACATCAGAAGTACTGAAACAAACACCCCGCTGTACATTAGGGCAGTAACTATACTATGTTCACTGCAGCAAAAACTAAAAATAAAATCAAACTCTGTTGTATTCCAAGTTTTTAAATCCAGGGAATTACTAACCCAGTGCAGCATACTAAGGAAGAACTCAAAAGCCATTTTCTTACACAGAAAAGTAAATAGCTGACCTCTACTTATTTTTTCCTTGTTAAAACAGTCCATCATAGTTCAGAACTGTTGCAGGGCAAATGCACATGCACTATGTTTTCTTTAATTTGGTGGGAGCAAAGTCCAGCAGAGTGCCTCTACTAGTTCCCACGAGCTCTCTCCACTTACTGCAGTGACCCCTGTTATATAAACATCTCGCAGAAATTCCGTTTCCCCAAACCAGCAAGCACAGCCCAAACGACACACTGCCCGGAAAGAAAAGTATAATCACTGAAATAACCATTTGTGTAGTTAATTACTTATCTACAAATTAGTACATCAAGGACAACTTAGGGCTATACGACAGAGACAAAAAGAAAGAGATATACAATTTATATGATGGTGTACTGATGTCATGGCGGGGAAAAAAATGAGCAATAATTCTGACCTGTGAAATTCTCACTTCTCCACAACGGCACCTAAAACTTTTTCAGGCAAATTTGAAAGTTCAGGCAATTTTTTTCCTCTCCTTTTTCTCTTGAAGACATACAAAGAAGGGATTATCTTGTGTGTTCACCTTTACATATACAATAGTACAAGTTAATCTTCGATATCTGGACTTCTGCTGGGAATACTGCTCTAAGATCTGGCAAAAAGAAAAATCTCAACACCACTGAATCTGCCTGCTAATATATAAGAACAAAGCCTTGCCCTAAAGAAACCAATAGAATTTTTGCCATTTATTTCAATGCAACCAAAATGTTAAAGTGAGTATGTCAGCATTCATCATACATAAAAAACAAAAAGGCAAAGTATACCTTTCAAGGCTTCGGCCAAATCAATTCTGACAAAACCACTTCTACTCAAGCTTCAGAAGGGCATGATTGAAAAATGACACATAACCTTTCCTATTTATTTCATTATTTGGTTATACACTCAGGCATTTTATCTGCCCACACTGGTGAAGAGCTCTTCACACAGGTGAACAGGAGATACTTTGGAAGAAAATCTGTTCTTGTGTTAGTGGGGGTTTTTTTCCGGTTTTGAACTAGCAACCCCACTTTACCTCCCGCAAATACAAGACTTAGATAGCTTCAACCAATGTAAAATTTACAATCATGCAAGTATTTGTAATCACAAATCACTTGTCTGTGCAAGTAATCCGTAACATAAAAACTACTTTTCAAATTTTAATTCTGCAGTACGAAAGGCATTCTCTCCAATGCTACATACAAAGCAGATGAACCTGCTCTCCTGGCATCAGTTCAGGGCACATACCATCAGATTTAATACATTTCACATTCTGAAAGAATGTCACAACACTACCACAGCAGTTAGCTGTTGTGAAGCTTGTAAACTGAAAAATGCTAACACAAGTCATTTAGCAATGTCTTGTCACACTACTTCTTCAACATCATCTGAATTTTATAATTCATTCAGCAAACCGACTACGTGAATACTGCATGATAATATCATCATCTGCCAACACACAAGTCAGCCAAGTTCACATAAGATGACATACAGCTTAGATGCTAAATACCACGTCAGACAGTGCGCTGAAGCACGTCTCAATAACGGAATTTAAAACATTAATCTAACAAAATCAAAACCACATGCATACCATTCTACACACGACATCTGTCCACTATCTCAGATTTTTTTTTTCCCTCAAATTATGAAATCTTCCTAGGATTTATAAGTGTACTCCACTTCCAAAGAAAAAATAATTGATACAAGCCTTTGCATTTTATTCCCAGGATAGTCACTAGGAATCTAATAGATACCACAAGTGATAAAAGGGAACTGACATGGTCTATTATGAGACATGTAGTTTTAAAAGCAACACAGACATCTCATCTGAGCATAGCCTGTGCAGATGTCTGCTCTGGCAGGCAAGTTAGCAGCAGTCATTCACTGAAGAAAGGCCCAAAAATATCACTGAATTTAGGTTGGAAAGCACCTGGGAAGATCACCTGCACAAGACAGTTCATTAGAGCAGAGTGCTCAGGGCCACGGCCAGTCTGGGTTTAAGTATCTCAAGGATGGAGATTTCACAACCATTCTAGGCTGCTGTTCTGGTATTTAACCACCCTCACAATGAAGAAGTTTGTCCTAATATCTAACCGAATTTTCCTATGTTTCAACTTGTGCCTGTTGCCTCCAGTCTTATCAAAACACCTTTGAGCAGAGTCTGGCTTCACCCTCGCCATACACTCCCATTAGACAGTCTTAGACAGCAACAAGATCTCAACCCACTCATCTGAATGCTGAACAGACACTGCCCTAGCAGCCTTTCCTTGTCTGTCACATTCTTCAGCCTCTCCAGCATCTTGGTGGCCCTCCACTGGACTCACTCCAACACATCAAGGTCTTTTTTTCTACTGGGAAGCCCAAAACTGGACACAATACTCTAGATATGGTCTCACCAGCACCCAAATGGAGGCACAGGACCACTTCCCCGGACCTACCTGCTACACTCATGCTACTATCCCCCGCTGGCTTTCACTGCAAGGCGGCACTGTGCTGACTCGCTATCCACCAGGACCCCCAGGTCCTTTTCTGCAAAGCTGCTCTCTATTCAGTTGTCCCCCAGCCTATACTGGTGCACAAGGTTATTCCAGCACACACACAGGAATCTATAATTGCCTTTGTTGAACTCCCCTGACAGCCCACTTTTCCTGCAAGACCCTCTGAGCATCAGCCCCGCCCTCCAGCATCCTGGCTCTTCCCGACATCTTGCTCTGGATGGTGATCTGCTGTGTTTGCACTCTGTCCCATCAGCCACACCTTCAATAAAGACACTGAATACTACTGGGCTCAGCATCAATCCCCAAGGGCTGACAGACAGCTGTGTCCTGCTGATCACAAGCCTTTCAGCCAATGGACAAGGAACTTTCCATCCATCTCACCAGCTCCTTATCCAGCCTCTAGCTAAAGAGTTCGGATGTGCAGACAACACGGGAGACCACGTCAAAGGTCTTGCTAAAGTCACAGTACACAACATCCACTCTGTCCTTGTCTGCGGAGCCAGTCATCATACAAAGCAAGCAGGCTGATTTGGAAGTAGTATGGGCTAGGGCAGTACATCCCGTAACCAACTCCACCCTTACAGCTGAGGGAATAACACAGCCTAAGGGCATACACAAAATAACCACCCAGACCCACAGTAAAGACTTATTTAAGTGAAAACTGCTACAGATTCATGAACCTATGGCTTCTCAAAATGAAACAGACTCCTTAGAGCAGAGAGGGACCATTTAAGACACACTTTTAATGTTAGGCTTGCTTACAAAATCTGAAAGAAGACTAATTGATATATAACTTTAGTGTAGGTAGGCAGTAAATCGGGAACTTCTACATATCTGGCTTTTACAGTCCATCTCTTACTGAAGGAGGGTAAACATGGGAGAGAAGAAGCCAAAGCCTGTGAGGAACAGCAGCTTCTGGAGTGCCCTGTGGGAAAATGAGAAATATCTCCCCTGAGAACATTACAGAATCCAGCCAGCCTGGGCTTACCGTTAGGTGAATGACACACTAAGGAGTGATGACGAAACAGACGTTTGAAAACAATTCCCGTACCAAGCTGAGATCAACACTCAGGAGGTTTCTAAGCGAGAAAAACAGGCCTAGAGCCCCTACACATATCCTTGTGCCTAGGCTCAGACAGGGCTAGGGTACACAGCAGGTTTCCTATGCAGAGATGTACTTTGGACACAGCTGTGGCTCTCTACACAACTCAAGTGAAAGGGGAGCAGACTTGGCTTTGCATTTGTCTCTGCCCTGTGCTGTGAAGCTGGGCAAGGACTCCTGCAGCCAGCCTGTCCTATTCTGCCACTCCTCAAAGGCACCTCCGACACGGCCTGCAACTGCCCGGCGTACACGTCCAGACAAGAAAGCACCTTCTCCTCCCTGAGCAGACTCAGCTCTGCCCCAACAGCTAGTGATCTCCACAATAAAACAGCAGAAGACTAAAGGAGCAGTAACTAGGGACTAAGACTGCCATCGGACAGAAGAGCTCAAAAGACATTTCTCTTACGCTCACCCCATGAGAAAATGAGGAGCATCCCAGGTCACAGAACCTAGTCTCAGCCTACTGCCAGGGTTAAGGATCCAGTTAGAGTATGACTAAACCAGACACTATGGATGAGAGTGAGACTGACTTTAAATAGCTCACGAAAACTAAACACGGTCACAAGGTTTCAGAAGTAATAACTAGGACTCAAGCTTGTCCTTAAGCACAGTCTCAACTCAGCACTCAGGTTAAATGAGGATGTACTACCTGACATGCAATGGACTAAGAGAAAGCCAAGAGGTGGAGAGAAGAAACAAAAATATAAAACCATAAAAAAAACATATCAGGCTCAGCCTAAGCTTTGAGTGAAGGAATGACTTACAGTTTGGTAAAGGAGTTACTAAGCAACTTTTTAATTTGAAAGAGCTGTCCAAAATAAGTTCAGGACTTACTCACTCCTTTTCTACTTTTTAGACATAACAATACAATAAACTCTAATCAAAATGAAAACTGAAGAGTTGACAAAATATCCAGTTAAAACAAAACTGACAGGCACAGATGAAGGTTTGATGTCAACTCCTGAAACTGAGTCAATTAATTCACATGTGATTTTTGTTGGTTTGTTTTTTAGAAACTCGGGAATATGTACAAATTTGAGATTAAAAGAAAATAAACCTCTCACAAATTCATTAAGATATACTTACTGAAACCATACTCCAGCTGCAAGCAGATACACATCCAGTAAGGCAAAACACTAAAAAGTGCACAGTCGCTACCTTATCCACTATTTTTTACTTGTAGTTTTAAATGCTCTGTATAAATTTCATAAAAGTTTTCTTAGTAAGTAAAGTGAAGTAAGAAAAAGGTTTGTTTTCAGATTGTGTTGTAAAGTGAAGAGACACAGATATTTTAGGAAAGATGCATACTTACGCTGGTAGTTGCACATAAAGCAGGCCTGTGCTGCAATCATCCACTCGGCTCTAGTCTCACAAAAGATAGCAATGTTAGTCTTTGGTTGCTGACCCAACACTGCTAAGCCTTTTCCAAAATTAACAGCTTTAATGTATACATCTTCATATGAAAGCCAGGTGTACTTGCCAAGGATGACCTAATAAGAATAATAAATTCAATTTAGAAAACAAAAATCCTTAACACGTCCTACTACATTTTTATCCACGTGCAGAAACCCCAGATGTTTGAAGTAAGAATTGCTTAATATCTAAAAGCAGTTTATTCAAGATAATGAATAACATTCTTGCCAAAAACTACAGAGACTGTGGAAGTTCCAACACAAATACTGCAATATCTCCACGCGTGTTATCATCTCAGTTTCTCTTTTCACCTTAGGAAAGCGGATGATTCCCACCGTATTTCACAACTTCAGAAGCCCTCTGAAAGGTCATGGTTATCTAATCCATATGTGTTCAGATGTTTTACAAAGGTTTGTTTTATTCTAAGTAAAGGATGACAAGCACTAGCTGGTACAATACATATGCCGTATTTGCTTTCCTGGGCATTCGGGCTACAATTCTCCTATACAAATAAGATACTTAGGTGTTCGTTCTTATAAAAAAAAAAAAACAAAAAAAAACCAGGGAAACTGGAACCCAGCAAGCAGTTTACCAATGGGTCCTCAGTCAAGAATTGTGAAATCCCCCTCCTTTTGTTTGTTCTGAAACAAATGTCAGGGGAAGAGGAGTAATCTTTTTGCCCTTTTTTACTGCTAAACAAAAGTGGGACAGAAGACTGGACTGGACATTACTGGCAAATCTCAGTACTGAAAAGTCATGGGGGAAAAGTTAAGCAATCTCACTTGTCTTCTCTATGGGAAAGCTGGTGCACAGTAAAATTGTATTTGAATTTACAGTTTACTATCCGTCAGATTTCTGTGTGTGCACTTGCACCTTACAGTACTATTTGCTGAGTGATAGGTTCTTTGACCAGTCATCTTAGAAATTTTCATATACAAATATAGTACAAAAATGATGTTTTGCACTGAAAATTCAGACTCAAATTATTATACCTTACCTGTCTAGTTATACAAGCTCCTTGACAATTTTGAAAACTATTTTTTATTAATCAGTATTTCGTACATTTCCTTTAGCTACATAGCCTTAGTAATAAATGTAAGCAAACAATTAAAAAAAAAAAAAAAAAAAGCTAGAAAAGCAAACTTCTCCCTCCTCCCTCCATTCCATTTTCCAGATTTACCAACTCTAACTGAATTTCAGACTTTTGGGCTGTAAAACCTAACAACTTTTTGGCGTGTAACTACATCTCCAATGAGTTTGTATTTCCATATCCACTTTCTTAATAAAATGAATTTGAAAAATCTCTCTCAAGCTCCAATAGAAAAATAAAATAGATTTAACAAAACACTTTTTCAAATTGCAGAAGTGTACTGTTGGGTAACTGAGTTGACCCATGACAGCCTTACTCTATATTGCTCATCAACCTACTTGTTTTGCAGGACAAGACTTTTTTACTTGGGACAGTTTTATACACAGCTGCTTGGAAATCTACAAATGTCTTCATGGGTAAATATGATTTATCAAACCCAAAAAACAATACTTGCCAACAAAAACAATACTTAGCAATTTCACTGGAAAACAAACATTTCTCTCACAAATATCTGCTCAGCTTTTCCTGTTCTGCTCAAAGAAACTCAGCTTCATTGGCAAATAAGACTCTTTCAGAGCCAAAAACCTTACTGGAGAAGAAAGATCACATTGAATTTCTCTGCTGTAACCAGTGAGAAAATCACAGCAGAACTGCTGCCTGACCACATCCGCAGCACCGCGGGGCAGAGGCTCACACGCTACCTGCGCTCACAGCTACAGCCCCCCACGGAAAAGGACCTGGCAGTTCCTTTTGGTTTTGACATACCAAGATATTTCTGGTGTAGAAAACTCCTACTTCTTCCACAGAAAATATTGCACCTCTTCCTGTCTATCCAAATTTCAGTCATTTGGAATTTTCTTTCCAATTTGTGACATTTTTCCCCCAAAGCAGCATTTTCGGCAGACATGGAAATTCTTGATCATCAGTTGAGAATAATTTACAGAAGAGAAGCAGGCAACACCCTTTCCACAATGATACTACGTACAGCGTGGCCTCAGGGATGCTGCTCTCAAATCATTAGGCCAAGAAATACAAGCAGATTCTTGTTACTGTTTCTGGTAAATTTGCCAATCTGTAAATGAACAGGTTTTGGTAATTTACATAATTCACTACATAACTCACTGAAGTTTAAATAATACATCTTTAAAGGAGCAAAAATAGATCTTTCTGAACAACATGTGATTCTGATTTTTTCCCTTTTCTCTTCTCTTATATAATGTACCCTCACTGCTTAAACAAGTTTGATGTAAAGTAGCAAAAGGCAGCCTTATTGCTGAGTTCCTTTCTTATGAGGTTAGAAAACCCACTGAAAGGAAGTATAGCACTGTTAATTATAGTTATTTTTCTATTTTTCTATATATAGAAATATAGTCATATTTCTTAAGAACTGACATGTGAAAACAGACCGCTATTTTGAGTTTTACTTTTCCTACTACCTTCCACTTATTTAAATTCCCATCCTCCCTGCCTCCCCATGCCCAGCGTTTCTCCTCTGTTCCCTCCCTGTGACACATTAATACACTGTCTATGTGTGTCCCTTTCTTCTATACTTCCCTATTTGCTTCTTTTGCAGGTAACAGAGCAGGTTATGGTTTCTCTCATCCTTCCTTGTGTTTCAGTATGTCTCCAAATCCATCCACCTTCTTGGCCTTTCCCTCAGCAGCTTTCGCTAATATTTTCCAATGTACAGCTTCTACTGTAAACAGCTGTTAAGACTGATGCTATGTGCCATAATCTTTTTAATTATTTAATTTTACAACTTTCAGAACTTATTTCTGATAGATAGCTACTTATACGTGTAAAGTAAGTAACTGTCCAAGAGCTTGCAAGAGGAGAGCCCAAGAAGTCAAGATCATGGAGAATTCATGAAGCAGACACATAAACCCAAAGACTAAATCAAAAGAGCCAGCACCTCTGAATGCTTACTGCAAAATCCCCCTTTACCTAGAAGACTGCTGCCCTCTAGTGCACCAGCTTTTAAACACACTTCAGCTGCACCTCATTAAAAATACTTTTCGATTTAATGCACTGAAAAATATTATTAAGTATCGGTACTGTATTAATATTTGGAAATCCAGCAAAGTATAAAAAAAAAACTGCTGAACAGTGAACATGTCTTTAATCTGGGTTTCTGGGCAACCATATTCAAACTTTTAGTGTGAAGGTGTCATAAAACGTTCTCAAAAAAGCCACAGTGCAGGTACCTCTAGAGTCATTAAACTACCTGACCTTAGTTATCTTCCAAGGTCTTGCTAAAAGTAGGTTATAAGGGTTGAAGAACTACCATCCGGAAACCAGGGATCATGAATTAAACACATTTCCTTGTAGAAAATATATTAAACATAGAACAAAGGTTATTTGAAATGTCCATTTTTTGCCCTTTTTACATGAAAACACGGATTGCAGCTGAACACTTCTGAAAACATCCATCCCAAACTATTATTTACATAGCACCCTATGTTTCTCAAAATCATAAGCTACTCTTTTACTGCCCAGTGACTTGGCATGGCAAGAACCTTCCTGCAACTTCGCAGTAAGTTTCAGTATCAGCTATAACCAGTATCGTTCTGAACTCCCAAGTCCTTGCCCAGGTGCTTACTGTTTCACATAAGTCTCATAGGCTTTAGATGTATCATTTTCCCCTACCAAAATCATCTTATTATATTTGTCTTATTTATTACATTTCCATTAATTCTGTTCTTGGTTACAAACTATTCTTAAAACAGAACAAAACACCCCCACAAAAAAAAAAGAAGACCGACACAAACAAAGCAAAATCCACATACTACCGTATGTAAAAGCAAGCACGTGACAATATAACCTATAATGAAGATGACATAAAATAATCAACTAGCAAAATAAAGTTCATCTTTTGTGCATCATAACATTTAAGCTCTGCTTAAATTAATTAATTTTTCCAATTGATTACATCTTAATCTGTGAAGTATTTTCAACATTACTTTATCCTGATTTAAATAAGTATTTTGTTAATATTAGGTATGCTCTCTAAGTGTATTAAAGGACACTACAGAAGGAAACAAAAAAACTAGCTACATACAAAATATTATAAAATGCAACAAAGCAGAACCAAGTATTTGTATTTTATCCTTATTCATGAATTTCTGCTACTTTGGCAACTATACAGGAATACATAAATATTTTGAACAATAATATAATAAAAATTCAAGAAATTACAGATTACCTGGGATATAATTGCCCTCAATAAATTAATATAGTATCTGATCTTAAAGATGTTAAATATCTAGCTTTAAATAATTTTAGCCAGAAGTGTGAGCTTAGTTCTCCTAAGAATCAGAAATTTAATATTTTACTTTTCTGAGATACGTATTTACCCCATTAATGATTCATTAATTAGGCTAATGTAGCCCACTGCAATTTACACAGACATTTCCTAAAAGGTAATGCTGTTCAATAGACAGATGCAGAAAAATGCATCAACCATTCCCACCACTGTGTTCAATTTCTGAAAGGAAAAAAAGAAATTAACAAGTTTTGCAGCTCCTGTAAGGTTTAGAAATTACATACATTATACCTAAGAATTAAGTGTCATGCACCTTTTTGAAGAGTTGCACCAAATAAACCTCAACAAATTGCCTTTACTAAAAGAAACTAGGCAATAAAAAGATGCATGTTATGAAAGACAAAAATCAAAGGAAAAGAACCCTGACACTTGGAATCAACAAGGTATCTTGTGAAATTTTATGATATTCCTCACTTGCTAAAACATGTTATGAGGTATTATGAAACACTGTATTCCTTAATGGGGGAAAAAAAAAAAAAAAGGTAGACTTACATGATAATGCCATAACTTGGAACAAAATAATTTGAGGCCAAGTATGGCAATGGACCATAATGAACTGTTGTGTCAAGCTTAGACAAAATTACCTAACTTAGGTAATTTCTAGGTCTTAGAAATAAGTAATTTAAGTAGGTCAACACCAATATTCTTCAGCCTTCCAATATTCAGAACACTTTGCTTTCATAATGGAAAAGGCTAAAACTCCTAAGTTCTTAAGCCTTACATTACTAATTGTGTCTGAAAAACAGAGCAGAGATCATGGCAGCCAAAGTTCTGATCTGTGCTCAGAAACCCACTTTGTACAACATGAACTTTGTTTCTTTACAGGGCAACGAGGCCGCAAAATGTGCACCAAGAAAGATTATATGTACCCATTTCTCCCAGTGTTTCCTTCATGCTGGAAAATTAACTCCATAGCTGGGAGGATCTTTTTCTAACAATTTAAGATTCTGTAAAGATTTTAACAGAACTTCACTTTGCCATGTATTGTGATATTGACCTAATTCTACTTTAAACATTATACTCATACCAGAATTAAAACTAGCAGTATTTAAGGAATCCTTTATTATATGAAGAGAGAAATTTTTCTCCTGCAGGAAAACTAACCGTAACTAAAAATGGTCTTTATAGCTCGTAGTTAACAGCTTCTAACACAGAAGTGCAGAGCTTTAACACATATCCACACAAACATATGCAGCCTTTTGATGTTATCTCGACAGGACCTGCTCTTCAGGCAAAACTGCATTTTTAAATGCCTCTGAACAAATACAAAGCAGCAACTGACAACACAGGCCCGAACTTAAAAGACTACAAAAAGTCAGTCCCTTGAAACAACTTACATTGAAATTCAAAGACTGAAAAAAAAAAAAGTCTTCCAATTAAAGTCTGCCAATTCTTTTCCAAACAAAAATTTAATTTAATCCCTGAATTCACAGGGCAAAACCAGTAAATCCTTAATTTACAGTTAAGTTTACTGGAAAGGCACATGTGAGTACAGGCATCTAGCAATTTTTCTGTATTTATCTGATTATAGTTGAGAATAACATAAAGGGAGACTTCTTTTTTTTAATTCACCTAAAAGGAAAACTTTAAACTCAGTTACATCATCAGCTAAATACTAAACACAAATACTTAAAACATAGTTGTGTGTTTTCTTTGGCTGAAACCATAAAAAAAGGATATCTACTCAAGAATGCAAAAAGAAGGTTTAGATTTGTTTCAAATGCCAAGTAATGAAAGATTTGGAATTAGATAATTTAACTCTTCACAATTACTTAATGTGAGTAGAAAACTTATTTTTTCCCCGATTTGCTTTACTGGACTAGAAGTGTTGCAAAAGAAAGCAAACACACTTTGGAAAAATTCTTGAAGGCAGACTGCAAAAAAGAGTTACCTTTTTAAAAACTTTTCCTGATGGCTGGATTTCATCTTCCTCTTTTAGGATTTCACGTGTTCCCAAGAGTTTTTTGTCCTTAAACTTAGTCTTAGCATATTTAAAAACTTTGTCGAGTGTATCACAGCCAGGATATAAAACTGAAGCTAAGCAATGTAGACTGTTCACAGACCTGTACGCAGCCCCAGGCTTGTTATTCACAGGTTTAGCTTTAACCTGCTTGGCTTTTGCTATAGCCTGCCTTGATCCTGAAAATATGTACCACGGAATGTACGTTACAATGGAGTACACCAAGATTATAAAGTTTATAAACTGTAGAAGAACGGGATTGATGTTATGCTTCAATTTCATGTTGGCTGCTTGTGAAGGTTACAAGGGAGAGTTTGGAAACATGGATCAATTAGACAGGGATCCAAAAAGATCTGAAAAAAGAAAAGAAAATGTTAGTGGTAAACTCTATAGCTCTTGGCAAGGGGGTTATTTTCAAACATATTATTACAATCCATATCAAAGTAGGTCTTTTTATGCAGATATTAGGCTAAAAGTCTTAACCCCTAACACAAACGAAACAAGACACTGATACACGAGGAAAAATTCTTCCATTCTCACATAACAGACTGCAGTAATTATTAGGGTTTTTATTTCTTTGGACAGACTAGGACACCTGCATAAGAGAAGGAAACCGTAAGCTTCCTCCACAAAGGCCCTGGATGCAACAGAACTTTGCTGGTTCTTTTATTCCTAGGGACTTTCCATCAGTCCTATGATTTAAGCCTCAGTACCAGTATGCAACAGGCATGCTTGTTACATCAATAAATACAATATTAACTAATATTTGTTAAATATTGGAAAACAGCTGAGAAATATCCCCAAAATCCCAGCAAGAGCACTATGAAGAGATGTGTAGCTTTTTCCAGAGTCCCTGATGAAGCTAGGATATTCACTCTGACTTTTTTTAAAGCATCATTTATCATATCTAAAGAACACAATGATGCAACTTCCTAATGTATTCTACTGTGGAGGCAAGAAATTATGTCATCTATCTAAAAGATCAAAAAACATCAACAAATTAATTACAATCATTACAGGAAACAGGGACACTTGTCATAATGTCTGAAGATTAATTTCTGTAACAGTGAACAAGCTACCAGTTACAAAAACCAGTGCTTCGCATATAAAAGCAAAATGAACTATAAATACACTTCCCTCAGTTAACTCTTCAAATGTATTGATACAACCATATTAAATATGCCATAGATCACGCAACTGACAATGATGCGTACATAAGATGCAATGTTGATAATTCTGAATAAATTTTTTTCAGAACACACAGTGCCAACACCATATGGTTCTTTGCTGATGTCTTACGTTCATTGACTCTTTAAAAACCCTAATGAAAAGAAATTTTAGTTGACAAAGTAATGTTTAAATCACATAAGATCCTTCAGTAGTACTGGAAAGAAACCTTGCTTCATGAATCTTAAATTTGTAAGTCCTTTTGGGAAGAGGTGAATCCAATACCCTCCATTTGTAGGACATGATTAATTCTGTCTTTCTCTAAACCATACAACTTCTTAAAACTCTATGCAAAAATATGTCACCATCAACTTCTCCCGTCAAAGCTGCTGTAAGCTCATTGTTAACACTGCATTGTTACAGGCAGTTGAAGGAACCAAGCAACTTTAAGGACCATTCTGCAAAGCACTCAGGGACACATATTCAAATAAAGCCTGGGAGCTCTTCACAGCAGGGACTTAACTGGATCAAGCAGCAGAGGAGAACAAGAATTTAAAACCTAAAATAAATAAATAAATAAATAAATGAATAAAAGGAAGAGTATGTATGTTAGTTTTGAGATCAAAGCCAAAAAGCGATGAGAAATTAAAAAAAACTTAAATACGCTAAAGGGCAAATTCAGTAATTGTTTGAAGAGACTTATGTTCTTAGGCTGTCACTGAAGGATACTTAATGGAAATAATCATGTGCCAGCCAGTAAGCTACTGCAGTCCACAAAAATTATGCTGTTGTTGATAGCAGCACAGAACATTATGTTTTAAAGCTGAACCCAGCATTCACATCATAAAAATTTAGCCATGTTTCAGAAAGTTATACATTGTACTATAATTTTGCCTGGACCAATTCAGAGGGAAACACATTTTTTTTCTCTTTATAAAGCTGGAGAACTTCTGTGTCCCTACAAAGTAGAAACAAAACTTAACCAAACACTGTTACAAGCAAAAATGAAGGCAACCAATTTAACAACTTTTGGAAAGTTGTTCTCCAAAGAAATTCCCTGTCTGACAAACACCTGAGTCTCTCCAAAAATATTCTCTCTGGGTTTCATAACTTTCCTTGGTTAGAGAAGCACTGAGCCCTCCTAGAACAGCAGCCTCCCATTTGATTTTGCAGTTATCCCAACAGCTTTATTCATACCTCAGAAGTGGAAAGGAACCTTTTCCACTATTTTTAAAATAACCACACCAAGGTCTCATGTCAAGCACTCTCTCAGGCTTACCTGAAGACTTGCACATAACCCACAAACCTGGAAATGCTGCAAATCAGAAACTGTGCTATGCCCACCATTTCATAAAGGCTGCATGGCAAGAAAGGGTCGAAGGAACACTCCAAGAAGACAGAGAAAGGGGAAATATTTTGGAATGTCACCCTGGTTCAGAAAAGTAAGCATCCAGCTCTAGAACTCTATTCTGATGTACATCTGTTACCCTGATTTAAATTGCTAATTATTTCAGTTTCTCCTTCAGTAACTGAGGCTGTTACAAGTCATCTAACAGTTTCTTTTAAAAAATTAACACTTATAGAAATAATTTTTGACCTAAAATGCGATATTTAAGTATAAAAAAGTATCTTTTGCAAATGCAGTTTCTTGCCTTAAAGGCCAAATAAGACTCCATTTTTCTTTCCTTAAATTCTTACCATTAAGAGAGAGTAAACTTTAACGAGAGAGAGTGCTCCTGTGCCAGTCTCTAACAACTTGGCAACTGATCTCGAACTGTAATATTTCCAGAGCATCTACACTTGTCATTAATTGTAATTGTAATTAAAATTGTAATTGGGAGTGGGAAAAGTCCAGTCCCTTTTTGAACAAGCAAGCAAAGCATATTCTAGTATCCTCATCAGAAGCATATGTTCCCGTATCTTTGTAGGGTAGCGGTTCTAAAGAGAGTTGAGCCAGGGCGGAAAGTAAGCTTCTTGGCAACGTAAAGGCTCCACCTCTTTCCTTAGACAACTGAAGAACGTAAGATGCATTTTAACTCATCATTTCATGTATTTGTTTGCTATGTTTCTGAAGATAAAAACTCCAGGTAAGCAAAGGTGATGCATTGTTTCAGTTTAAAATGCCTTCATCCAAGAGATTTATCATTGCCATTCCCAGCAGAACACTGAAGTCAGCTAAATGGATCACTAAGCATCCAGTGAAAAAAACAGTTTGATGACAATGTAGAAGCAAAACTTAACCCTACCTTGAGACTGGACTGCTAGCAGCAAGACAATTATCTTTTTATTCTACTGCAAGCAAAACCAATGCAGCTGAACACGACAGTACATTTAGGCTTGTTCGGGTTTGGTTTTTTTGTTTGTTTGGGGTTTGTTTGTGTTTTAATAAGAAGTCATTTAACCTCCCCCCAAAAAACAGCTTTAATTGCATTGTAAAACAAAAATATTGTTTTCATTAAGATACAATGTTTGCACATTCATTTTTGTCTATAACAATTGCTATTTTGAACCTCTAATGTATGGTATTGTTTGGGATTTGTTTTTGTTTTAATAAGAGGTCATTTAACCTCCCCCCCAAAAAACAGCTTTAATTGCATTGTAAAACAAAAATATTGTTTTCATTAAGATACAATGTTTGCACATTCATTTTTGTCTATAACAATTGCTATTTTGAACCTCTAATGTATGGTATTCTAAAAACTCAAATGAAAATACATAATTAATAATCAATTTGCAGAACTAATCTGAAAATGAAAAGTTTCACGGAAATTTTCAAGGTTATATCAAATTTAAAAGGCTTGAAAACTGTTTGCTGTTTCATATTCTGCCTTTAAAAAGTACCCCAAACAAAGAAACAAAAAACTCTGAAAGACTTAGTGAAATACTACACCGGGGCTTCAAAATTTCATTGAAATACAATTTGTGGTTGCCTCATTAATTCTGGAACTATATGACTGCTTTTGACCATAAAAAGAGGATACGTAAAACCAACACTTTGGGGCAGGGAATGGAAAGCAGAGGACAACAGGACCCTAAGCAGTTTTACTAAGTCCTAGTTAGACCATGACACTGCGAGGAAGCCCACTGCCTTTACAACACCAGAATTTAGTTCTTGGGTAACTCCTGCTTCATCACTGACAAGTGAAAATACATGACACATGAAGCTATCTTTAACTTAATGGTAGTCACCAAAGATGAAAGACCACAAGTAAAATGTTAAACACTTTTTCAACAATGCTGAGAAGCAGCAACCAGCACACTCACTCATGAGTCTGTGGAAGTAAACTGGCAGTTTTCAGGACTGATCCTGTTTAATACATAATCAGTGATTTGGCCTGTTACACTACTTATACTAATACTGTTATACCCTTTAGTTTTAGAAGAAAACTTTTGTTAAATGGTAAAAAAAAAAAAAAAACATTAAAGGAATGTATTTACTAATTGACCTGCTTATAATAATTGCACCACAATAAAAGCATGAATTAACAAGAAAAAGAAACCTTATGCAACTTCTCATCTTGGCAGGTACAGCTACAACAGCTGATACAGATGTTCCCGTCTCAGTTTAATCAACAGGAGCTGTCACAGGTAACTGCACGAAATCTAAAAACGGAAAATCCCCATTAAATATGGCAATTATAAAACACATCCTCTGTTCTTTCACTTGCCTTTTACAATAAAAAAATAAAACCATTTGTTCATCTAACACTGCAGTGTATCACCTTGGAGAGCCTGGGCTCACTACCTCTGAGTTAAACAAAGCCTTCCGAAACACCCAAAGTAGTTATTCTTCATCCTCAAAAGCAGTATAAGCAAGGTGGCTGGAACAGCATGAGTTAAATTCAGTAACTCATGCCACTTGGCTCCCTGACAAACTTGTAATTCCCCAGTGTCTTTCAGTATAACACTGGCTCTACCATTTGGGGTGGAACAAAAAATACACCTATCTTTGTATATCTGTCTACACTGACAATACATTTCAGTCTGAGCAATAAATATTCCTGGACACTTTTTAAAAAGACTACATAAAATAGGAATCATTACATATATTGACTTTGCTCTACTATACATCAAGGTTTTATTTATTGCCCTTTGCAGAAATAAGTCTCACTTAAAAACCTGTGCCAGCAATTCACATTTAAAAGGAGCAGCAAATGTAAACATTTCGTATCTATTATCTGTCTGCA